ATTCGTAAATAATAATAATAATAATAATAATAATAATAATAATAATAATAATAATAATAATAATAATAATCCAAAGACTTTTTTTTTTAGTATTATTGACTCGACAAATTATGCTGTGGCATCGTGTCCACCTTGCAAAGTAGACACAGTTCAAAAATTGTTCATAATTATGAATATATAGTTCTATAATTATAAACATAGTATTGTGAACATTATTATAAACATATAGTTATGTAATTATGAATATAGAGATTTAATAATTGTGAATATGAAATTCAAAAATTATGAATATATATATATATATATATATATATATATATATATATATATATATATATATCCAAACAAAACGATATACAAACATTTATTATTATAATAATAATAAATAATAAATATTTGTATATCGTTTTGTTTGGATATATATATATATATATATATATATATATATATATATATATATATATATATATATATATATATATATATCCAAACAAAACGATATACAAACATTTATTATTATTATTATAATAATAAATAATAAATAATAATAATAATAATAATAATAATCATCATCGAAACAAAACGATATACAAAATAAAATTAAAATTAAAAAAAAAAAAACTTTGTAAATGATGTTGGATCATTTTGATCCCACATTGAAAATGTTTGAAAAAGGAGCTCTTGAGCTCCTCTATATAAGAGGAGCAATGCTCTTCTTACAAATATAATTGCGTGTCCATCAATGTGGACACGTATTGAGAAGTCCAAAGGTAAATATTTTATTTTTTGAGTACTATTGACACGTCAAATTATGTTGTGGAATCGTGTCCACCTAGCAAGGTAGACACGGTTCTAAAATTGCTCATAATTATATATATATATCAAAAATTATGAATATATAGTTATGTAATTATGAATATGGAGACTCAATAATTGTGAATATGAAGTTTAAAATTTATGAATATATAGCTTTATAATTATGAACATATAGTTTAGTAATTATGAACATAGAGTTTTGTAATTGTGAATATAGAGTTCAATAATTATGAATATGAAGTTCAAAGATTATGAACATAGAACTGTGTCCACCTTGCAAAGTGGACACGGTTACACAGCATAACTATTCGATTCACCGTGTTACATGTAGTATCTGTTCATATAGACTTACTCAACCTATTGAAGCCCTTGAAGCCCAACGTTTCAAAAGGCTCTTATTTAAGAAATCTTATTTTAATGGTTTCTTATTTTAGTTTTTTTTTTTTTAATTTATTAGGGGATTTGGCTAAGATTAACCCAAAATGTATATGTGTTGTTTTTAGCAGTTTGAAGCAAATTGTTATGTTATTAAATAATATTTTTGATGTTTTGATTAAATATAAAATGTTAAACAAGCGAATTTTTTAAAATTTTAGAGAATTCTCCAAATTATCAAATTACAATAACAATAACAATAACAATAACAATAACAATAACAACAACAACAACAATAATAATAATAATAATAATAATAATAATAATAATAATAATAATAATAATAATCCAAACAAAACTATATACAAAATAAAAATAAAATTAAAATTAAAAAAAAAACAAGAAAAAACAAAGAGGAGTCACAGACTCCTTTTGTAAATAATGTGGGATCATTTTGATCACACATTGAAAATGTTTGAAACGAGAGAGCTTATCTATATAAGAGGAGCAAAACTCCTCTTACAAACATAATTACTTGCACATCAATGTGAGCAAGTATTGAGAAGTCAAAAGGTTCTTATTTAAGAAGCTTTAGCGTTGTCTTCTTATTTTAGTTATTTATTAATTAATTTATTTATTATTAGTGGGGGTTTGGATAGATTAACCCAAAATGTATGTGTTGTTTTAGTTTTTAGCAGTTTGGAGCAAATTGCTAAGTTATTAAATAATATTTTGATTTTTTGATTAAATATAAAATATTAAACAGACGAATTTCTTAAAATTTTTGTGAATTTGCCAAATAATCAAATTACAACAAAAAAAAAAAAAAAACAACAACAACAACAACAATAACAATAATAATAATAATAATAATAATAATAATAATAATAATAATAATAATAATAATAATAATCTAAACAAAACTATATAAAAAATAAAAAAATAAAAAAAGGTAAAGGGGAGCCACATGCTCCCTTTGTAAATGATGTGAGTTCATTTTCATCCCAAATTAAAAATGTTTTAAAAGATGATCTCCTGAGCTCTTCTATATAAGAGGTACAAATATAATTGTTTGCCTATCGATGTGGCGAGTATTGAGAAGTTAAAAGGTTCTTATTTAAGAAACCTTAGCTTTGTCTTCTTATTTTAGTTTTATTTATTTATTATTTATTATTTATTATTTATTATTGGGGATTAGGAAAGATTAACTCAAAATATATGTGTTGTTTTATATTTTAGCAGTTTGAAGCAAATTACTTAGTTATTAAATAATATTTTTGGTGTTTTGATTAAAGATAAATTGTTAAAATGACGAATTATGGTGTTTTGATTAAAGATAAATTGTTAAAATGACGAATTTGTCAATAATAATAATAATAATAATAATAATAATAATAATAATTCAAACAAAACGATATACAAAATAAAATTAAAATTAAAAAAAAAAATAAGGAGAAGACAAAATGGAGTCACGGGCTCCCTTTGTAAATGATGTGGGATCATTTTGATCTCACATTGAAAATGTTTGGAAAGAGGAGCAATGCTCCTCTTACAAACATAATTGCTTGCCCATCAATGTATGCAAGTAACCTGAAGGGTGTGGTTGAGTGTAAGGGACTTATCTATCCTTAACCAAAGGTCAAGGGTTCGATCCTTGGATTTGGGAATGGAGCAGCCTTAAATCTCTAAGCCAGTTTTCCCACCCAAAAGAGGTGCTTACAATTTAGCGAGGGGATTAGTCACTGTGTCCAACGGTGGAACCCTGGGTTTACCAAAAAAAAAAATCAATGTGGGCAAGTATTGAGAAGTCCAAAGTTTTTTTTTTTTTTTTTTTTTTTTTTGTTAGAAGTAAAGGAAAATTAAAAATGGAAAGGAAATATTTTAATAATAATAGTTTACATCATCAAATAGTAAAAACATATTTTAAAAAATAGTAAAGATAAATTAAAAGTGGAACGAAAATATTTCATTAATAATATTTTACATCATCAAATTAAAATGGAACGAAAATTAGGTAAAAATATCACTGCATCTATATTCTAATTGACTGATTGATTGGAAATAAAAAAAATAATTAACTGAAAATGAATCTAATATTACTAATTGATTGAAAATATAAAAGGAAATGAATATTAATAATTGACTGCAAATAAAAAATGATCTATAATTTACTAAAAAAATGGTAAGATCATTGCATTTTAATTAAAAATGGAATGAAAATTAAAAATTGGAGGAAAATATTCCAATAATAATATTCTACATTATCAATAGTAAATGCATATTTTAAACAATAGTAAAGGTAAATTAAAAATGGAACGAAAATATTTCAATAATAATATCTACATCATCAATTAAAAATGGAACGAAAGTTAGGTAAAAATATCACTGCATTTGATATTCCAATTGATTGAAAATAAAAAAGAATAATTGGCTGAAAATGAATCTGATATTACGAATTGACTGAAAATATAAAAGGATAACTAATTGAGTGATATTCTACCATTATATATTTTCACTCAAGTAACCCGTCCTAATGGAGAAGATGTTAGCTTTATACGAAGATGAACAAGATTGTGTTGTCACTACCAATGTCGTCTACAAAGAGGTTTCAATAATGTGTAAATATAATCGGTGATATTAATTTTTTTTAAATGAAAAAATTGCTATATATCTAGACAAAAATATATATCTTCCATACAAATGAATATAGATAGCAATTCATTTCTATAACTGAGTTATTAGAGAACGAGCACATTTACCTAATGTATGAAAATACTAAACAATGATAAATAAAATATTCAAAATTATAGGACCGCATCCGTACATCTAGACATTAGCTATTAATTTGAGCAATTATTTGCACAAATTCAAACAATGATAACATCAAAATATATAAACGATTCAAATCATATCTTTAAATGCACTATATAATATTTGATGTTCTAATTTAAATAATTATATATCGATTCATATATTCTTAATATATTACAACATATTCATTCCGTGCATCGCACGTGTGCAAATACTAGTTAATACTAAAACAATAATCACGATATAAACTATTGTCTATGGTAATGTGGACTCTGGTCCTAAACGACGTATAAGTTGTATATTTTTAGTATTGGAATTGTGAATTTATAGAATATAAATTGTGTTTTCGAGTCAAAATACATAACTGTAGAAGAGAATTTATGAATAGAATACAGGGTCACCAAATCTTAATATGATCATATTTTTGTGAATGCAGTATTTGAAAAGAACTTGTGAATACAAAACAAGGTAATCAATTACATATATGTTAACATTGTTTGTTCGTAGTATACAAATTGTAAATTTTTAAAACGTAAATTGTGAACGTTTAGTATGTAAATTGTGAACAAGGTGGACCCCGGTCCACAGAATAATTTGTCATAATATTTGTATTGGTCCGGCAAGATCTCGTAATGGGATCGTACTTAACAAACATTTATGTGGAAAATTATTGTGTGGACCATAGTCCATAACAAAAATTACATTTTTAATATACTAAATGTACATTATTTTTGTATTGAATGTATATTATTTTACAGTATATAAAATATGGTTCACAAAATAATGATTGCAACCTAAGTTGGGCCGACCCAAATATCATATCAGGCTCATTGGACACGGGCCAATCTGGCCCACGTGACATCTCCGTTCCTCTCATTTACGGAGTATCTTTTTTTTTTTTATTTTTTAATCGAAACAGAAAATCGGTAGGGTTTCTAATAATGTTTCTACAACCGCCATTCAACTTCAATATAAATTACAGAATTACCAACGCCAAACGTTTACACTATCCAGAACTCGAAACCCTAAAGTAAGAAACGTACAAGGTCTGCCGCTCCCTCTCACAGTTTCCTACACTCTCCGACTCCGGCGTCCGCTCCCTTTTCTCGACTTCCGGCAGAGGTCGACGTCAAGCTCGTCGGGATCTCCGTCCTCGGTTGAAGAATCCACTCCTTCAACGGACGTTCTCCCCAGGTACGGCTCTACGTATTACACAGAGTAAATTGTTTTTTTTTTTTTTTTTTTTTTTTTTTTTTTAACTGACCTATTTAGGATTTTGCTATGTAGATTTGAGGGGTTTCTGTTTTGTGTGTTGGAAATTCGTTTATTGTGTGCAAGGAGAGCCAGTAATAAGCGATTAGTTTGTTTTAAATTTTTATTCTAACCTTTTCAACTTTGTATTGCTAGTATTCCTAGTAATGTCCCCTCGAATTGATGAACCTACTCAAGATCAGTTTTTATTGCCGGATTTTTTTATTTTTTTATTTTTTTATTTTTATGGATAGCTGTGAATACGAGCTTACATATTGTTGGGATTTTTCTTAGAAATTTGTTCAGAGGAAACAGCAGCTATGGATATATTGTTATTGTCTAATAAAATCTTAACTTGCATATAGTTGGTAGCTATATCAAATTGTTTAGTCTCTGTTTAATTTTAAAATTTTATTTTATTTTCTTTTAAACTTTGTTTCTTTTTACTATGAATTGGAAATACTAATGGGTTTGGGGGCAGTGTTAAATGAGCTTGGTAAGACTTAGGTGGGTTTGAGATGAAGTAATTGGGTTCTGGTTTGGAATTTGTTAAATGGGAGGGTACCCAACCCAGTAACATCCCTAAAGATTCAATTTTTATTTCTTCTTTTTGTAATTGTTGTCTTCATGTGTTGTAGTTTTGTTATGTATCTTTTTCTGATGCTCTCTTTTGGTTTTGGTTTCCAATGCAGTTTATTATTCTCCTAACAAATCTTTGAGACATGGCATCCCGATTTTGGACTCAGGTTTGTACTTTTCACAGATATTGCGGATTCTAACTTTTGAAAGTTTCTAGATTCCTTCTTAACTTTTGAAAGTTTTTTGTCTTTGGAGTAAATGCTTCAACTTGAGTTATTCAGAAAATTGCAGAGTATATGGATTTTTGCCAAAAAAAAAAAAACTCACCTACTTGTTTTAGTATCCTTTTGGTTTTCAATCAATGTGGAATAGCAAAATATGAAAACCTTTATGATATTACAGAATTAGTACTTTTCATTAATGGTTCTTGTCAGTTATTTTTACTATGCTGTTTTATCTATATGCACAAAAATGTACTTGATTTATATTGAGATGGTGAAGCCCTGCTAGACATTGATAAGTAGTTTTCTTGCCAACCTTAGCTTCATGAATCTTACCATTATACATTGGATGAAGGGGTTAATTAACATGGTTGGTCTTTGGCCCTACACGGGGAAGAATAGCTTTCCACACTATAAATGGAAAGAAAACCAGCATGCAAGGTTTTTTTTCATTCAATTACTGTCCTATTATGAAATATGAACTTAGTTTTGTCATTTTATGGTTATTGATTGATTGTAATTTTATAATATGATACATGGATTTGTGGTAATATACTTGTGTATGTATTAGGTATTTTTTTGTAAATTTTTTATAGGTATACTTTAAAAGGCTTTAAAATGTAGGTCTTAAATAGGCTTAAAGCCTATTTAGGACCTACCTTGAAGCCTTTATAAAGGCCTAATATTAAATAGCCTTTTAAAAATGCTTAAGGCTAGGCCAATTGTAGGCTCAGGCTTGAGCCTAACAAAAAGCCTACATACAGGCCTAGGCCGAGACCCAATTTTCTAAACACCGGCTCGGCTCGGCCTATTTGCATCCCTAGCGGCAAATTCATAATTTGCTTCCCTTATATAATATTTTTTTTTTCTTGAAAGTTATAAAACATTTTTAAACTTGAAGCAAGAGAAAGGATTTGAGAGGGTTTCTGTACAGGTTTCTGTTCGTTCTACCGCAACTCGGCTAATTGCACATTGATCTTCGAAGTTCCCAGCACTACTTAGACCTATTCTCTCTATAATGGTGAGCTCTTGTATCTATAATTCCTTGGAGAACAGTTTCCTTGAAGCTTTTATTATTGCAATTTTCAGCTCAATTGTCTGCCTAACATGAGATCGTATGAAATTTAGATCGTAATGGATAGAACCAATGACGGAGCTGGCCTGGGGGCAGTGGGGGCAGCTGCCCCCACTGCCAAAAATGATACAGCCCCAAAACGACGTCGTTTTGGGGCTGTTTATATGTATAATTTTTTATTTTTTTTTCATTGTTTCATCTCCCCTGTCGCTCTCTGCTTCTCTCGTCCTCTCCGCGTAGCTTTCTCGTCTCTCCGCCTCTCTCGTTGGTCGTAGCTCTCTCGACTCTCCGCATATCTGTCTCTCGTCTCCTCTCTGTCACTGTCTGTCCTCGCACGGTCGCACCTCGCAGGATCGCCAGTCGCCAATCGCCACCAAAGTTTCGATGATCAGTCGCTGCCTCCAAACACGAAAGTCACCACAAAATACGGAAGTCTCTTCCTCACAAGAGGTTCGTATTTTCTTAGTTCTTGGGCTAATTATTTTTTTGCCCTAATTTCCCTAATTTTGTTTTTGCCCTAATTTACCTAAATCTTTTAGACTTTTAGTTTTAGTTATACTGGAAAACTCAGCCATCTCTATCCGCTTATCCCCTCCCTCAATTTGTTTTACTAAATTTCTAAATTACAGCTTTACAGCTTTTATATAATTATTATATGCATGTGAGCAGCGAGACAGTGAGTTACTCAATGTGAGTAGGTCTAATATTGTTTTTAATGTATGTGCAATGTGCTTTTTGAAATTTTGGATGATTAATTGCTAATTAGAGTTAGTAGTCTGTGATTCTGTGAAGCTTAGTAGTCTGTTGGCTTTAATTTATTGCTGATAGGACTTCAACTCTTCAGGATTATGGAGACTTCAAATAAAGCATCTATCCAAACTTTATTTTAATTGACTTGAAAATGTCTCCTTTTTTTGTTCAAACTACTCTTGCAGTAGAACACCGTACCATTTGGTCTCAAAACTTGCCTTTGTTTATTTGTAGGTATTGTATTTATAGGTCCTAATTTTGCCATTCTCCATGCAAATTAGTTTCTTGTTGATTATCTATAGGTTATAGCTTATGAGCTTATCTGCTAATTAGTACTAGCATAAAACTCCAGAAGAAGTTTCACCTGTTGGCCACATTTTACCTTTATTTTTTCGCCCCCACTCATAGAAAATCCTAGCTCCGTCCCTGGATAGAACTACAAAGCGCTCGCATGAAATTACGCACCAGTATGTGGATGCTGTATTATATGACCATTTGAAAGAAATTTATCTATAGTTTCCCTTGCTTCACTTGAGTAACTAAGGTTTTTGGGGGAAGATGCGGGAATAGGAAGTTCGGAACTCTTGTTTTGTTGAGAGCTTAATGGGTTTACCTAACGATAGTAATAATGATGATGGAGAATTGGAGATGATGATAATAAGGGAAAATTGCACTTTTCATCTCTAAGTTATCAGGTAATTGTAGAATTTGTCCCCGAGTGTTGGTCGTGTTCATTTTCGCCCCTAAGCTATACTAAAATTGTAAATTTCGTCCCTAATGTTTTGTTAGTAAAGGGACATAAAGTTCAACGCCAATGATAACTTAGGAACGAGTGCAATTTTCCCTAATAATAATTTGATTTAATTTGTTTATTTTTGTTGTTGAATTTGTTTGTTTTAGGATTTATACTTGACTTGGGTAAATAGTAACCTCATGAAATTATATTTTCTGCTTATTTATTAAATTTTACATTGCAATCATGATTTTTAATATGTGTCATCATTCATCTGTAGTGAGTTGGACATTGTTTCTGATATTCTGCCTTAACTTCATTGGTCCTTTTTGTAGGATTCTGCAACTACAAAAGATTGCATTGTGGTGCTTACAGATGATGTAACGGTATCACTTAGTGCAGTTCTGAATGCAATTGGGATGGTGAAGAAGGAAGGAGTTGAAAAGTTGGATCCTTTGATCATTACTCAGGCTTCATCTCAGAGTAAAATTTTTGCTCTCTTTTGTTCTGAACTAATGTTTCATTTCCTTCTTTCGGATTATTGCATTGTATTTCTAGCATTCTATCCTGTTACTGAAATATGTTTATTGATATGTGTTCAACATGTTTCTTGATTGTCTTTGATGGCTTCCACATTCTTCCTTTCTTGCATTTATTGCGAAAATGATCCATAGGCGATGGATTTTATTTCAAAGTTGCTAGAGAAAGAGGAGCTTTTATCTATGGTCCAGTGTTTTTTTTTTTTTTTGGTTGTTGTTATTGATATTGATATTGGTAGTTGGGTGATTGTTCATCTTTTTCTGTTGTTCACTTGGCTAAGTCACTGTGTATAAGCTTAGTATATTATAGTTTTAAAGGATCTATATAGTTTTTACACTATCTATTATTCGTTCTAATGTTGTGATAAGACACTAGTGTAGTAAATTATACAATATTATAAGTTTTAAAAGATGTGTATGATTATCTTACTGCATATTCCTCTCAAGTATGAATGGGGCAAGAGTGAGAAGTTAAACCTTTATCATTCAATTGGCATGTCTCAAAGTTTTTTTTTTCCTCAAAATATTTATCTACGTTATATTTTCAGTTCTTTATTTTGTTAACATTTATTCTCAACTAATTGCAGGTATCTCTTCATTGGGACATTCATCCATGGATGTTGTTATAGTTATATTTAGGTCATTTGAGTTTCCTAGTGATCAGTTATTTGTAGATGTCACGAGAGTATTGAAGCCTGGTGCGACTGTTTTACTTAAGCCAACTTCTCTTTCAGCTTCAGAGACAACGGCAAGTTGGCTTTAAGTCTCCCTTTGTGCATATTAATTACTCCAAATCTTTTTATATGAAGATCCTTCTAATCCTGGTTGGATCTGAATTGCAGACAAAATCTACACTTGAGCGGAAGTTGCTCTTGGCTGGCTTTGTGGATGTAAAATCATTGGAATCTGTGTCATCTTTCGGGGTTAGTGTTTCTTGCTTTTTCAGTGGTTTGCTCTATCTTTTATTTTGTGTTGTTTTAGTTGATACTTTTCTTACCTTTCCTTGCTCTCAAGTCTCAACTGTCTCATCCTGGGGTTTGGGTTAAGCTAGGCCGCTTTACAGGCAATAAACTTGAGTTAAAATCTAACCTTCCCCATCACTCAATTTTTATTTTATTTTATTTTATTTTTTTAAAGAAAGTAAAACTTCTCATTCTCGCCTTTTGAACTGTTTTCAGCTGAAGGATATCAGGATCAGATATTCTTGTAGTGCATTGTCCCTTTATCTTCTTTAAAAAATAAAAATAAAAACTGGTGATTTTTCATAGGAAAACTTCATATTCTTGCTGATTGTGTATTATTAAGTCTTATGTGTGGGGCATTGTTTCTTGGACAGCATATGTATATGACATCCATTTATCTGGTCTTATTGAAACTGGTTTTCCATTTTAAGATTTGTATTTATTTCAACACTTCATGGGAAATTTTATAGGGTATGTTAATTTGAAGATACATTATTTAGTATCCTCAATGTCCAACCTTTTCTAATGGCTTAGCTCATGTTAATATGTTATACAAACATGGCCTTGTATTCTTCAAATTTTGTAATTAGCTTACAGCCTGGTATTTAACAGATAACTGGCAAGAGGCCTTCATGGAATATTGGTTCATCCTTCTCTATTAAAAAAGTTGCAAAAAGTTTACCCATAGTTCAGATAGAAGATGATATGGATCTCATTGATGAGGATAGCCTTCTAACAGATGAAGATCTGAAGAAACCTAAACTTCCAACTGGTAAATTATTATGATGGTTGTCCTAGTTATTACCTTATGAATTTATCAAGGCTATATTCAATTGCTCTACTTACTCTAGTTGTAATATTGGTTTTCCAGTTGATGATTGTGAAGTAGGGAGTACTAGGAAAGCGTGCAAAAACTGTTCATGTGGACGAGCAGAAGCAGAGGCAAAGGTGGAGCTTGGATTGACCATGGAACAGCTAAACAATCCTCAGTCTGCTTGTGGCAATGTATAGTGAACTTACTTGTTATGTTATTTATTCTGTGCTGTACTAGGCATCTTTTTATCAATATTGTCTCTTATCAGATCATGCATATTACCTATATCAATTAACATATTAGTGTAAAGGCTTGTTTAGTCAGAAGAAGTAGCAGAGTATAAGATTTGTATGCTAACCGTGCTTAGAAATTAAAGAAAATAAAAATATTGGGATTTAGTTCTCTCTCTTCGTTATCGGACTTTTTAACTCAGCCTTGTTTGATGGAAGACATAAATGTTGCATACCTTCTTTTATATAAGCAATGAAAAATGAGTCGGATATGCTTAGTCCATCAGTATTGAATTGCTAAATTTACTTTTTTCATGATATGTTTTGACATGCCAATGAATGAAGAATGATTTTTCTATCTCAAATTGGGGTATTGCAATGTCTGTGAGTACATTAAGAAAGTTTTACGTGTTAATAATTTGTAAAGCACTCTCTTAGTTGTTTCTTCTGCTATAACTTGGTGAATCAATGTCTTAGAATACATTTAGAAAGATTGCTTAGCTTCTAAACAATATTAATACTCTTTTTGCTCCTGGTGTATATGACCTAAATTATGTTTTTTCTGTAAATTGTCATAAAAGGGAGCTTTTAGCATGAGATGTCAATTGCTTACTTGGGATTGTAGTTTCAGACCTTTGTGATACAGTTCTGACTTGACATGTCTTCTCTCTGCAGTGTGGTTTAGGTGATGCTTTCCGGTGCGGTACATGCCCTTATAAAGGTCTTCCTGCATTCAAACTAGGCGAGAAGGTGCATATTCGAGCTGCTATCATCTCTCTCTATATTTTTATGCTCTTCCATGTGTTGCTTTTGTCTTAAGACATGTAGATGCTTATTTTATGATGGCGTTGTTTATTTTAAGGTGGGGGGTGGATAAGTCAAGATGAGTTTGGTCTGAAATTCTGAAAAGCAGTCAATTCAATTTTGATAGATGAAGTAGGAGGTTTAAATCCCCAAAACACCAATTCATTTTACCAACATTTTCAGGGGTGTGTGTTTGTTTAATTAGTAGAGGTTGGGGTTGTCGGTTGATGTCATGATGTGTAAACTGCAAAGTACAAGACTACATCGAGTCACAGTAGCCAGAAACCGAAGGTGTATGTTGTAACAGAGAAAGAAAAAGAATAATTGGAAATTTGTAGTGACTACTCTGTTTTGTCTTTGCCTTTGTGATGATGACATGCTTTACTGTGATAGGTAACACTTTCTGGGAATTTTCTCGACGCCGACATCTAGGAGCAGATGTTGAATTTGAATATTATCATACATTTTGCCATCTCGAGAGTGTTTCTGCTCCTTTGTTCCTAAACAATGCAGTGCAGCGCCGAAGAATTGTTTAGATACGTAGTGATAATGTTCATTTTCTATAATATAGCCTCCACAACATTTGTTCCATTTTTCATCTCTTTTATACTTTCTTCTACGTGCTGCAATTGCTATTATAACTCTGCGGCTCTAAAACTTATTTCCTGTTTACTTCTCGAGGCTTAAATTGTGATCTGTAGTGCGTAACAGTAACGAACTAAATACATTCTTGTCTGTTATTGTTAGTGGTTTTTTTTTTTTTTTTTGGAGAAAATTATTGTTAGTCTTTGGTAAATTGTAGTATACGTTTTAAAAATTTACGAGTTTCTAAGTGTTTGTACATTAGTATCAATAGACAATAGCAGGTTTCATTCTATGCTCTACTTTTTGGTTAAAAATAATCAAATCTTGCACGTTTTCTATTATTCACCTATTGTTGTCTCTTGGTTTTGATTTTATGATTGGGAGATATAAGTTGTGATCTGTTATAACCGGCTTTTCAATGACAATTTTTAGAATCACTTTAACAGTTCAATTATTATTCATCAGTCGAATCACTTCCTTAATTTTTTTTAAAAATTATTTTTGTTCAAATTAGTCACCATACATATATGTGCAATTAGCCAATTAGGCCATTCAAATAAAAACAGTGTGATTAGATTTATGTTCAAAAGTATGCAATTTGACATGCTTTTGATGTCATCATTGGTGCGGCGATTTCGATTAAAAATTATTATTTTTAAATTTATTTTAATAATTCAAAAAAAAAAAAAAACACCCCTCGACAATTCTTTGTCAATTGTCTCCAAGTTGGAGACGAAGAAATTCTCCGACTTGGAGATGAACTCTTCGTCTCTGGCTTAGAAATGAAGCGTTTTCTTCATTTCAAGTAGGGGTGAGCAAAATATCGTTTAATTGAACAATAGCCGCAAATTAATAACCGAAATAATTGAACAAGACCCAAGTTGCTAATCAATATCTAAGCCCAATGTCTATTCCTAATTCCCTAACCCTAAGCCCGCAGACGGCAATTTATATCGTGCACCACGGCTATGTGCGCCCAAGCACAAAATGTCACTCCGTCCGTCTAAACGGTCCAAACCCCATTATGTGTATTCAGTTAAAAGTTTCAGTGTATTGTGTTATGAGTTTCTGTGTATTCAATTAAGTGTTTATGTGTATTCAGTTAAGAGTTTCTGTGTATTTAGTTAAGAGTTTATGTGTATTCAGTTAAGAGTTTCTGTGTATTCAGTTAAGAGTTTCTGTGATTATGTCTCATGTTAGATTAGGTGTATTCAGTTATGAGTTTCTGGGTATTCTGTTATGAGTTTATATGTATTCGGAACAGAGGACTTTTATTTGGACAATGCACCAAAACGACGTCGTTTTGGGTAGGGTGGGGTGCACAATGCATTGTGCACCATGGTGCATGATATAACGATTGTCCACATACCACAGTCGCACAGACCCGAGTGGCTGAGACCCCGTTCTCGGTTTTTGCTTCTCGCTGACCTGAGACGGTGAGACCACGATCGCTTCTGCTTCTCGATTCCACTAATCCACTCCACTGCTCTCCGTCTTCGGCCGACGTCTCGATGCCCTCGCTCAGCCACTCCACTCCGACTCTCCCGTCTCCCTCATGCTCTCTGACTGACGACCTCCCTGAGGATCAGGAGTCAAACCTCATTGCCTCAGCCCTCATCCAGTCGCCCAATATGAGGTATATTTTTTTAAAAAAATTTATACTGTAAATATGTTAGTGAGTTAGTCTGTAATTTTTTTTTTTAAATTTTATATTGTTTATACTATTATATTGTAACTACTAAGTCTATAAGTCTATAGAGATTTTTTTTTTTTTTTTTTTTTTTTTATCATTTATCAGTTTGTTTGTATGCCACTATGCCAGTGTGTTATATAAAATCTAAATTAGGCAGTGGCACTTTCTATATTTGTATTTCAATTTTGGAGACTTGGATATTGAATAATTGGTCAATTTTCGGTTATTTGGTCGGTTATAGTATTTAAGTCGGTCGATTTCAGTCCGTCATGGCAGTCAAAAATTTCCGTTGGTTATGTGACCGACCGACCGATCGTGTGCTCATCCTAATTTCAGGTTGGAGACAAAAGAGCTCTCTTCATCTCTGACCATAGACAGAGATGGGGAGGCGAGGCAAGGTTTTATTATTATTTTATTATTATTATTTTAGATTATTTTAAAAATTAAAAACAATAATTTTTAATATAATGTCTGTCATGTAGAGCTGTTAAAATTAGCTTTTCCTATTTGGTCGGTCCGTCTCGCCCCCTACTTAGGTAGGGGTGACTTTCGAAAATAGAGGCCTGTTAAAGAGCGAGCTTTTTTGACCCGTGGGCTTGGTAGTCATGGGCTACCCAAAGGGGGTATGGCCGGGGCCGCCTAGCCCGTGGGCTAAGGACGTGGCCGGGTGGACTAGCAAAACCTAGGGTTTGCCCTACCCGTCTTCCCGTTTTGACAGCTTTACGGTCATGTTAGTGATGAGTGGATGAACATGTAAAATTGCATAATTTTAGACAATTGAGAAACTTAATTGTATTTTTATGAGTTAAATGATTCAATTGTACTTTTAGTCTTTTACTTAGGGCATCTCCATTAGAAGGGTCTTCACCAAGTTTTAGGACAACAAAATTCCATGGATGAGATTTTCACAAATAAAAAATGAAGACTTTGGCCAAATTTTCTCCTGCAATATAGATATTTTTGTGGGCCCAATAAGAGAGAGAAAGTGAAAGAGAAGGCTGAAAGCCAAACTTTTCTTCCTTACATTTTGCAGGCATCAGATTTTTGTTTTGTTTTATTTATTTGTTTCTTCTTCTCTCTCCCCATCTCTTTCCTTGACATCTAAAATACTACACCAAAATTCTCACTATTGAGGATGCCATAAGTTCAATGAAAAAGCTTTGTATTATTATTAGTATTGTTGCTATTATTATTATTATTGTTTATTTTTTTGGATAGAAGTAGTCTGTTGATCTGTTCTTTTTGACTGTGAATTCCCTTCCGTCTGAAGTGATTTGAATTCTAGACCTCCATTCGAAGTCGCAAAACCCTACAAACCCTCTGGTTTTTCTGTTAACCAACCATTCAGCCAGAAACTCCACCGTCGCCATCCAATGTTCCTCCGACGCCCTCTCGCTCATCCGCCGGTTCGTGCCGGCATATTCAACCAGATTTCTCGGATCTTCGGACCCAGATCCGACCGGCCCCTTCATGCTCTCTTCTGCAGTTCCAGCAATCCTGAGCCTCCACCGATGCCTCCCTTTCAGATCCCAGGCCCCATTTCAGGCAACTTCTTCTTATCCCTTATCTTTTGTATGATGTTTATATGCGTATATATTTTTGTGTATACTCATCCATTTGTTTGAACTTTTGTTTATAAAATTAATTGGTAAAGTGAGTGCTTAGATATTGGGTTTATAGAAGATCCATTGTTTCAATTGGTTCTGGAAATTGGATTGCAGTTCTTGAGATAAACATTAATGGGTTGCTTGTCCAATTGGAATTTGAATGAATAAAACAGAATACTGAATCCTTATTGTCTGAATATTAAATTATTGTGTTCCATGGACTGAAAATTTAATTTGATTTCTCATAATTGTTGAAATGAATTTGCATTGATTGCCAATGGAACCTTAAGTTCAAATTTTTGTGACTTGTTTTTGGTACAACTATAAACCAGAAACATTTCAAGATTAAGGGTGTGTTTGGTTCGCACATAGGAATCGGAATGGGTATCAAATATTTGGTAATGGTAATGGGTTTTGGTGAAAGTATTTAACATGTTTGGTAGTAGGGTGGAATGAGAATGGTTACTAATAGTAGTGCTTGAGAATGAATAAGGGAATGAAACCCTTATTTTATTTGGGTATGGGTTTTTCAATTGATGGGGTATTCGAAACCCATAGTAGTGTTCTAAAAACCTATCAACCAAACAACAACAATCACTTTCATACCCATTCCTATGTGCAAAACTCACCAACCAAACACACCCTAATTTCTAGTAAACTCAAGAACATTACCATCCTCCCTCAATTTTTTTTCTATGGTCTTCTAGAATTGTATGGCCTCTAGTGGTTCTTGAGCTCGGCTGGCTAAGTTATCTACACAATGGTTCCTCTCATGCAGACCCACTTTCCATCCCTTTTTTAATGGCTGCCTCCAAGTCAATGTCAGTTTTGTTGATTCCAATTTCTATGATATTTTACTGATTAAATTTCAAGCAATGTTCCTTAACCAACATCAGATTCATGATGCTGATTATCAACATTAGTTTACAAACCTACTGAAACAATTTATAGTTTCAATAATAACATCCTAGGTGACAGTTTGTAAGAGTGATGGCAGCTTATGCAGATTAGGCATAGAGGATAGAATTGTGTGCATGTCTTCCTTTTTTTTCTTATGTACATGAACCATGGAGAGACAAATCTGGACAAAGGATAAGGGAGGCTTGGGGGTGGGGGGGGGGGGGGGGGTTTCAAATACGAAAATAACTTCATTTTGTTACTTGAAAGACGGGCATGCTCAAGAGGATACAAGTGGGGCTGTTTGTTTTGGGATAGACTAGTCTATGAAATCCATGTCCGAAAGCTAAGGGGGCGTTTGGTTCAGGTTATATAACATAACCAAGGGAATGTGACATTCCAAAGGCAGATTCCTATGTTTGGTTCATATAATCTTAGGGAATATAACATTCCCTCCACATAGGATTTTGAAGGGAATGTGATTCCCTTCAATTTCTTAGGTTATGTAAGATAACCTTGGTTATGTTTATTATAGTGTGTGTATAAAATATAACCCTAAACCAAACATGATTATATTACATACCCCAATTTTAACAAACACAGGAATCTAACATTCCCTAAGGTAATCTAACATTCCGTGAACCAAACGACCCCTAAAAGTTTGGCTGCATAAATGCCCTTCAAGCAATTCAAGTAACCATGGTGTTTTAATTCCCTTATATGCATATCAGAAACTTTGTTTTCTTTTTTGAATAAGTTGTTTCCCTTCTAAACAGTTTGAATTCAAAACATGTAAAAAGTTTTACTTTTTGGGCTCTGAAATTGCCTATCAAGCCTACTTCTCATACATGCTCTGTTGTTGGAATGGGTTTTATTTTTATTGCAGGTTTTTCAGGGAATAACAAAGGCAACATGCCCTATAATAGATTCTCAGGGGTGGGACAATCTGGTTTGAGCAACCATGGAACACGCACTTTGTTTCCTAGATCTTTGATAGACTCTGGAAATGAAAATGAAGTTGAGACTGGAAAGAATTCTAAATCCATGGACATTGTTAGGGGATTACTAGAAGACTATGATAAGGGTGGTGCTCCTTTTGGATCTCCATTCCGTCAATATCAAGTCGAGAACGATCCTGACATTGTTCATGTTAAGCTGCTCCGCAACAACACATTCATCACCGTCACAGATTCAAAAGGGAACAAAAAGTTTGGGGCTTCAGCGGGAACACTGGCATCAGGAGGGAAAGTTTCTCGATTTGCTGCTGAATCTACAGCAGAACATGTTGGGCGTGAAGCAAGGAATCGTAACTTGAAGTCTGTGGTCATGAAAGTAAATGGGTTTACCTATTTTAGGAAAAAGAAGCAATCTATCCTTAGCTTTAAAGAGGGGTATAATCATTCCCGGGGAGATACAAATCCGGTTGTTTACATTGAAGATACAACACGACGACCCCATAACGGATGCCGCCTCAGAAAGAAGCGCCGCATATAGTTTGTTTCGTTTTTTGCATGTGAGAAGCGCCGCATATAGTTTGTTTCTTTTTTGCATGTTGAATTTGGGATGCGATAGATGCATGTTATGATATTTTGCTAAATAAACAGGGCATTATGGCTTTTTCGAGATTTGCTTCTAATTCTAAATTACAACTGAATACTTTGCGGGAGCTTTCTCAGATAACTATGTCTATTTATACTTTGTCCTGTTTCTTTAGTCTGGGAATGCCCTTGTTTTTTATTTCCAATGCCATTGCTAGATTGAATTTTATGGATTTTTAATTTTTTTTTTATTTTTTATAGAAAGTAGAATAATATTAACATTATCCAGAATTACAATATCGTTCATATCATCATATTTAATACAAAATTAAAATAAAAACTGTAACGTTCAAATCATATTTAATACAAAATTAAAATCAAAGCTGTATTTATAGTGGAAAATGGCCTACAATTGTGGGAGTGAGTGCGGCATAATTGTCAATCGTTATGCTATGGACCGGCCTACAGTCTGGACACGATAATGGTGCTGTTAGTGACACCGTTATTTTTCACTTTTTTTATTTTATTTTATTTTATTATTATTTTCAGATCGCTTCGTTATAGGAGCACATGTTCATAATTTTATCACTATATGTTCATAATTGTAAGTTCATAATGTCAGAGTTCTGTGTTCATAATTTCATAACTGTACATTCATAATTCCATAACTGTACATTCATAATTCAATAACTGTAAATTCATAATTTTTGAAACTCTATGTTCACAATTTTCTCTATGTTCATAATTTTATCACTATATGTTCATAATTGTAAGTTCATAATATCAGAGCTCTGTGTTCATAATTCAATAACTGTACATTCATAATCCCAAAACTGTACATTCATAACTCTATAACTGTACATTCATAATTTTTGAAACTCTATGTTCACAATTTTAAAGCTCTATGTTTATAATTTTATCACTATATGTTCATAATTGTAAGTTCATAATGCCAGAGCTCTGTGTTCATAATTTCATAATTCCATAACTGTACATTCATAACATCATAACTGTACATTTTCCCACAAACGAATAACACCATTAACGACGAGACAAAATCATTTTTTTTTAAAACTTAAATGATGCGTTTTCCTTAAAAACGACATCGTTTTGGACTCGTGTCCACAATGCATTGTAAACACGGATCCGGGGCATAATTTGCGCCTAATTGTAGGCCATTTTCCACGTAACAATGCAAACACACCCCACGATTACAACCATCTATTCATTGCATCATCATATAAAAAATAAAAGTAACAATTTACTAGATATAAACAAGATTCTCAACAAGGAGCAATAAAAACGCAAAGCTATATTTAATAGCAAAATCAGGCCAAAAGTTCCAATGTGAACAATCTAAACTGAAAATATGTAATGTAGATATATAACACAATATGTAAAAATAAATGAATCACCAAAATAAGTATACAGCTAAATTTTTTAACACTCGACAACACTTATTTATCTGCGGGATCACGCCTAAAAACTTTTTCACTCAATATCAACTCGCGATTTTTACAATTACAGGTTTAATGAATTACAAAACTAGTTCTACCACATATTTAAACATTAACCTCATAAAACAACTTTATGAAAAAAATTTATAAGTACAGTTTGAACAGATTTTTCAATTAAACAAACTATAACCAATCTGAATTTCAACAGAGCTTGTACTAATGTAAAGTGGAGCTGACTTCTCGAGATAGTACACCAATCTATTCCTTGTAACACCATCCACAATAATATTTCTATTTGTTCCGTTTTGAATCATTACAAAGATACCTATTTATAATGTTGAATTCTTTCTTCGTCTCCTTGATTCTTGGCCGCACTATCTCACTCCCCACAATTGTAGGCCATTTTCCACGTAACAATGCACACACACCCCACTCATCCATTATCTTATTTTCACAATTTACTCACACATTCCCATGCATGCATATATACGCACCATTTCCAAATTAATCTCTTCAACCACACGTTCACACCGTCACACACTGTCATCATTTCCTCATTTTATGCATGTAATTTCCATTTCTTAATTGCTCACACCACATGTTTATTTCTTTTGCATTCCCATTTCATTAGGGGCGGAACCAAAATTTGTTGACGCGGGGCCAATCACAATTAAACTAATTTATTAAAAAAAATGAATAGGAATTAAAGTAGTAAAAATTTAAAGATCGGTAACAAAATGACATTTTATTATTATAATAATAAGCACTATTGCAACCCAATGGGGTAGCTCAAGTGGCAAATGAGCTCTCTTTGTGGGAGAGAATATTGGGATATAACTTGGTTTTGATTCCTACAAGTGACAATTTCCTTTGGGCCAGCTTCTATGCTTCGACCTTGACCACAATGTGTATTTTACACCAAAAAAAAAAAAAAAAAGCACCATTGCAATGTATTTTCTTCGAATTAAAAAACTAACCAGATAGCAATCCATTGTCTATTGTCCACATAACATAAATTCAATATGCAATTTTTTACAAATTGACAAGTCAATTAAGGTATGTACACTTTAACCTTCAAATATGGCATGTAAATTTTAGAAATCATAAGAATGAATAAAACATAGCATATGCCAAACTTATACGGTTAAAATAATATGAAATTCAAATGGCTAATTTGAGTCTGAGAGTCTGAGACTAATTATACTCATTTTTAAAGTACTTTTAGAACCAAATGATAGAGGAAAAAACAACTGCAAAGCTAGAAAAGTAGAGCTCAAAACACAAGCCTATACAATTTGATGGGATAAGGGTCAAATAAGTCATTCAACTATACTAAAATGTGCAATTAAGCCTTCCAACTTCAAAAAGCTCCAAACTAAAACCTTACACTTAGAAAAAAAAACTGCAAGTACACCATTTTGTAGGTTACCTTGTAACATGTAAATTACTTATAGATTTTTCAAGTTGATTTTGAAAGATGAATTCGGCGACATGAATGTGGAGCTCGGTGCCAGTTGGATTGCCCGCGTCGGCGGCCAACAATCTAACCCCATACGGGAGCTTACTACTCACTCCGACCTTCACTCCTGCTACCCTGACTATAGTTACACTCCCTACAATATCTATGACCAAAGGTTTCGTGAAATCCTCTCCCTCCATTTCTTTCTCTGCTCCTAACTAGCACTCCAAGATTTTATTTATTAATTTTTGTATGTTAGTAATGTTAGTATTTCATGTTTATATTATATGCTTTAATATTATTAGTTGTAGTATAGTCAAATAGTCCTAGCCTAAATAATAGAAGAGTCTTGTGTTAACTCTCCTATAGGACTCTCTGTTTCTCTCTCTGTAATATGATTAATCAATCATATTGAATATGCAGTCCGTCATACTTGCACGAGATAGTATATCCACCATGTACCTGCGTTGAGACAAAATAAAAGTCTTAATGCCTAGAATAAAAGTCTCAATGCCTAGGAAGAAGGTAGGCTTGCCCAGGTCCCTGATTTTGAAAGCAGAATGCCTAGGAAGAAGGTAGGCTTGCCCAGGTCCCTGATTTTGAAAGCAGAAGAGAGACGCCTGAGGAGTGAGTCAATTAATGCTGAATCAGTGCCCAACATAATGATATCGTCGACATACACGAGTAAAAATACCCGAGAGTTACCGTCGATGTAATGAAACAACGGCACATCAGTTTTGGATGCCAAAAACCCTGTTGAGATTAAGAATCCATGTAAGCGCATCTTAGTAACATTGTAGTGGGAAGAAATATCCAATTGCTATAGCAGCTGATTCATACGAAAAACTATAGACCCAGCGATTCAGAAACTGAATAGCAAAGAGGCTAACCATTGCATCACAACGGATCGATGCTTCCGTTTTACGTGAAATGATACAGTAAGATGAATTCTCACATTTTTTTATTTTTAGTTGATATTCTTAATAATTATTATACACCAATAGAGCTAGCAATTGATTTCATTCTTCGAAATGGCAGATCTATTCTTCATGATTTTGCTACTCCAGATGCTTTGGTGAGGGGGGCCAAGAAAAAACAAAACAATATACTATTAACATTTTTTGGGGTGGGGGGGGGGGGGGGGTGGCATTGGGCAAGGCCCCCTGTAATAACTTCGTACCTCCGCCCATGCATTTCATCATAATTAACATCATCAACATATGGCAATTAATATGTAAATTGTGTATTTTGAATATGGGACGGACGTAAATTCAGGTGGACCCGAATCTGTAATATAACAATCGTTATATCGTGACCCTGGTCCAATACACATAATTTGACTTCATAATGTACATAATTTATGTTCATGATACATATAATTTATGTTCATAATACACATACACATAAACATGATATAATGACTATGAATTATGTGCATTATGAACATGAATTATATATATTATAAATATGAATTCTGTGTATTAGTTAAGTGTTTACGTGTTTTCATTATATCATATTTATGCATATATATATATATATATATATATATATATATATATATATATATATATATATATATATATATATATTATGAAATCAAATTATGTGTATTGGACCAGGGGCCACAGCGCACTGTGGACCCTGATCCACGATATAAATTGCCATAGTATAACTATTGACCATGGTTCACTTTTTGATCTTATGAAGCGTTATGCTGTGCAACCGTGTGCACCATGCAAGGTGCACACAGAATTGGATCCATAATTTTTATATTATAGATTCATAATTTCTATACTGTATACTTATCAAATTATGAACATATAGTTCAGTAATTTGTAAATACAGAGTTCAACAATTAGTAATATGAACATTGAAAGTTATGAATATAGAGTTTTGTAATTGTAAATATAGAGTTTAATAATTATGAATCTATAATGTAGAAATTATAGATCTAATTTCGTGTGCACCATACATGGTGTACAACATAATTCTATAAAATTAAACCTTCTTATTGGGCTTCAATATTTTGGGCCGGCCCATTAAGACTGATTTCTTTTCCATTATAAAAGCTGTTCACTAGGGTAGATCTATTGTCTCCTCTGGATACTCCTTCTTGCCGTCCCACTCTGTATAGATCTTTTAGAATTCATCTCTCACCTTCTCAGTTTTCACGCGGCATCCACCCCTCATGTGTTCTTCGTCAGATCTTTAACAACCCTCTTTTGTTTCTTGCTCCTTTTTACTCTCTTTACTGTATCTCGTCCTTTTTTTTTTAATTTATTAGGGGATTTGGCTAAGATTAACCCAAAATGTATATGTGTTGTTTTTAGCAGTTTGAAGCAAATTGTTAAGTTATTAAATAATATTTTTGATGTTTTGATTAAATATAAAATGTTAAACAAGCGAATTTTTTAAAATTTTAGAGAATTCTCCAAATTATCAAATAACAATAATAATAATAATAATAATAATAATAATAATAATAATAATAATAATCCAAACAAAACTATATACAAAATAAAAATAAAATTAAAATTAAAAAAAAAAACAAGAAAAAATAAAGAGGAGTCACAGACTCCTTTTGTAAATAATGTGGGATCATTTTGATCACACATTGAAAATGTTTGAAACGAGAGAGCTTATCTATATAAGAGGAGCAAAACTCCTCTTACAAACATAATTACTTGCACATCAATGTGAGCAAGTATTGAGAAGTCAAAAGGTTCTTATGGAGCGAAAATCAGAAGATACATTATATTTGCACAAAAAAGAAATCATCAATAAACAATAAATAAACAATAAATAGTAAAAGGAGCAAAAACCAAAAAATGCAGATGCATGGTCACGAGACACTATTGATCTTCTAAATTTGTTTCAAAGTAATTGCAAATATAAGAGAAACAGTGGCTTATTCACCCACCAACTCACGTAATCGCAAAAATGCACTATTTACTTTAACATGGAAATGATAGAGAGTAATTTTGGAGAATAGAGAATTCTCCTCCACGGGTGGGGATGACATAGTGCCCACATGGGTGACGGTAGGGTGACTGAGTTGGACTGAGAAGGTGAGTGAAAACAAAAACAAGGTCGGTTGTGTGGAGAGAGTGAGTAGGGATGTTGAAAATTTCTTATGAATTTCTTGCGGCCTCCTTCAAATGGTTTATATATTGTTTTTATTTGGCTTTCTGATTTATTATTTGTGGTTATGATATGTTTGAAATCACATTTATTAATTTTGATGGTTATTACTTTATTCTTTAGGAAATAAAGGATCTGATGGAGATTATCTTTCACTATTTTGAAAACTTGTTGATGACAAAATTGTTTGTACATTTCATGATATGCGTTAGAAATCAAAAGTTTGGAAAACATCAAGGAAAGCAAAGTACGTGAAGTTTACACATATATATTATGCGTGTTATTTTAATTGTTTGTTTATTTTTTAATGTTTTGTTTTATATTATTTTGTAAGTTGTGATTAATTTGCTCGCGGTTCCTCAAATTGTTGTTGGTGGGCGTTTATCGCTCGATGAAATTCAAGATTTATCTAATGCCTTCATTGTTGATGATTGCATTATCATTGAAGCATGTATCAAGAATGTGTCCATGATTCAATAGCTAAACTATTTGTAACTTATTATAGGCATGCTGGTTAAGAGAAGATTTGGATGTACTTGGTTACTAATTTTATTGGAGGGGTATTTTTTTTTTTTTTTTTCTTTTGGTTGAAATTGGTATCACATTGAAACTTTTGGCATGGTTTTGTTATTAAATGTAGCTTTGCGTTTTTATTGCTCCTTGTTGAGAATCTTGTTTCTTTTTTTTTTTTTTTTTTGAATGCTACTGACTCTATTATAATGTAGTATTGGTTCATAAACAATTTTCTCAACCTAATGAAGCACAAAGAGTTAATTAAATTGTTAAGAATCTTGTTTATATCTATTAAATTGTTTTTTCATATTTTACTTTTACTTTTTATATGATGATGCAGTGAATAGATGGTTGTAATCGACATTCAAATGAATTAGTTTTTTTTTTTTTTTTTTTTTTTTTTTTGTTTTTTTGTTTTTTTTTTGTTTTCACTTTTTACTAATAGAACAATCAAATAAAAATGTAATATCTCTATTGTCATTGTATCCTATTAATTGAGCAAATGTTATATGAATTTAATCAGGCAAGAACATTATACGTGCTGGTAAAGAGAACATTGGTCGTTGTACTAGGTTGTTAATTTTATGGGTACGATACTTTTTTTTTTTTTTTTTGGTTTAAAGTGTTATCACATTGGAACTTTTTGTATGGTTTTGCTATTAAATGTAGCTTTGCGTTATTATTGCTCGGTTTTTTGGAATCTTGTTTATATTTATTAAATTGTTATTCCATGTTTTACTTCACTTTTTATGATGATGCAATGAATAAGTGATTGTAATCCTCTTTTAAATGAATCATTCCGTTTTATTTCACTCTTTACTCATAGTACTATAAAATAAAAATGTAATGCCATTATTGTAATTGTATGGTACAGAGTATTAGTTAAGCAAATGTTATATGAATTTAATCTGACAAGAAATTGTTAACACTACCCAACGCACTGTAATTTAAAAAGAGATTTATTGCAGATCATCATTCAAAAGGTTTCTGTTAAGCTTTCTAGTTTGTTGTTTGTCTTTGTGTTGTTTGTGATATTACGTTTGTTTTTTTCTTTCAGACCTTCAACATCTTTTTTTAGGCGGCTATTACTTTATCTTTAGGGTATTAACAATCAAGTGGAGAAAATTTCACTGTTTTTGTCTTTTTGGAGGTTGTTGATGAAAATATTTCTTGCACTAAAATGTTTGTATGTTTCATGTTATGCATAAAAAATAGCGAGAAGTTTGATAGGTACTACAATACGCGTCATAGTATGTAAAGTTTACGTATGGAATAGTTGTGGATCATTCTAATCATTCTAATTATCTTTTAGCATAAAAGTTTTAATAATTTCTTCAATTTTGTGGAGCCTGTATAGTTTCTTGTTTCTTCGTTCAAAAAGTTGCGAGAGTAATAATGTCAAAAAACGTATCAGGTCAAGAGCCTGCCTCATATGGTCTTAGCTCTGTTTTAGTTTATATTTTGTGGTTGCAATGTTGGAATTACTTAGTGCTACTTTTTGTTTTTGCAGATGCAGTGAGTTGGGTAAGAGATATAGCCCCGTCACATTATATACTCAGGATTGAATCATTCTCCGATCTTACTAAGATTCTGTTGGAAGGGAAACTCAAATTTTATGAGTCAAAAGTTTTTGAAGCTAGTGGTTACAAATGGTTGAGTTTACATTTTCCACTTATTTTGTTGCTGAGTAGTGTAGTTGAATTATGATATTCTAAAAATTAAATTGTTGTTGACTATTTTGTGGGTGTAATAATCTTGAATTTCATTGACCGAATTGTTTTGTGGTGACAGGGCATTCTCGATGTATCCCAATGGTGATGGTAATAGTGAGGGACACGTTTCTGTGTATTAAAGACACGTACGTATTGCCTTTGGATTGGGAGATACATGTTGATTTGAAGTTTTTTATATTTGATAAGAAGCATGACAAACATTCAGTTTTTCAAGGTTGTTTTTATGTGTTTCTACAAAATTAGATTGGGGTCATAGTGTTGTTAATATTACTAACGTTGTTCTTTTTGTTATTTAGAATGGAGAGTAAACCGGTTTCATCATTTGAAACCATAATGTGGCATCTCGAATTGATCCCTCGTGGTGAGTTTGATAATACCGCGAATGGGTATCTTGTTGAAGATAAATGTGTCTTTGGTGTTGAAGTTTTTGTGCTTGATTCTAAATTCATAGAACAACAATTGAGTCGTTCATTGGAAGTTGGTGAAACCTTCATTTGGAAGGTGTCAGATTTTAGTAACTTGGCCAGCAAAATTTGTTTTTTCAGACGAATTTACTGTTGCATCCTTCCAATGGTAAGTCAATTTTGTGTGAGTTCTGCTATGTATACTTTTAAATTATATTTCACGTGACAAATAAGTATAAGACCATTTTCGTCTTATGTCAATTCTATGATTTCACATTTAGGGTCTGTTTGGAAAGCTGGAAAATGACTTCTGGAAAATGACTTCTGGAAAATGACTTTTGGAAAATGAGTCATTTTTCGGAAAACATTTTCCTTTCTGGTGTTTGGTTGCATTTTGGAAAACTGTCTTTGTGTGTTTGGTTCATTTTCTGGAAAATGAGTAGAATGGTAAAATTAAACATTTTAATTATTTTATTTGGAATAAAAATATTTTTTTAATAATATTAAATATACTTTTATTTATTAAAAATTATATTAAAAAAATGCCTTCATTTCTTGGTTTGCTGCAAGTGCGGCTCTCTTCTTCCAGAACTCACAATGTCCTCATCTTTTGAGAGCAATTTATGATTTTGGTAGGGCTATTGAGGAGAACAAGAGCCACATCTTCGTCGCCACCTCTTCTTCACGTTTGAAACTAGTGGTCTGGTTTTCGCCGGAAACCACAGCTCACAGCTCTGGTTTCCGCCGGAAACATTGTATCATAACTCAGGCGTTTTTTTTTTTTTTTTTTTTTTTTTTTTTTTTTTTTTTTTTTAAGGTTTCCGGGGGAAACCAACTGGTTTCCGATGGAAACTAGATTTGTGGTTTCCGGCGTGCTAGAAACATTGTTGTATGTTTGGAGGAGGTGTTGGCGGAGTTTCTATTGAATGTTGATGGGAGAAGCGGAACTTTAGACTTCAGAGTGAGGAGGGGCTTCCGGAAAATGACTTCCCCAAAAAAAAAGGAGAAGTCATTTTCTGGAAAAATGGACTCATTTTCCATTGACCATAGCTCATTTTCCTTTGACTTTTCATTTTTCAGTCTAGCCAAACACCAAAAACCCGGGCTAAGCCTTAGTTACTAAATCTTTTAACTATTTTTATCAGGAAGTTGTTACTTTATCCTCTTGGAGAGGGTAAAAAGTCCAATGGGCTAAGCCTTGGTTTGTTTTTGAAGCTTGTTGATCCGGAAATGATTTGTGGTGGACTGTGTGTACATTTCATGTTATGTATAAGAAATCAGAAGTCTGGGGAACATTTTGAGCATCAATGTATGTGAAGTTTATATACGTATGTGTGCCTTTCTATTTGTTCATTTTTAATGTTTTGTTCAATCTTGTTTTATTTTGTAGCTTGTAATTGCTTTACTGCTGGTTCTTTAGATTGGGGATGGGCGGAGTTTATGCCACTGGTTGACGATTGCATTATTATTGAGGCACATATTAAGAATGTGTCCACCCATCTGTAGCTGTTGGAGAGAAATTTGGGTTGTTTTTTTGTTTGCTAATTTAGATGGGTAGGTGTTTTTTTTTTCCTTTGAAACTGGGATTACAGATTTTGTAGCACCATGTTGGAGATTTTGTCATGGTTTTGCAATTAAAAGTAGCTTTGCGTTATTATTGTGCCTTGTTTTTATCACTTTAACAGGGCGTTTGGTTGGGGGGAGAATTATGTGGAAAAGGAATTGTAATTTTATGGGAGTTGAATTACTGGGAATAAAGTGGGAATTTAAATTCCAATGTTTGGTTGACAGGAATAAAATTACTGGGAATTTCAATTCCAGTGTTTGGTATACATGGGAATTGAAAGGGAATAAGTAGTATAAAGTCAAAAATGGCCTTTGAAATTAGGTGGGAATTAAGTGGGAAGGGAATTTAAAATCCCTCCAACCAAACACCTTGTAATATGATTTGTGATATCGGAAGTGACCACATTTCAGTTCCCTTTCTAAACCAGCAATTCATGGTCTCGGAAAATGGCAAATTGAAACTTTGGGTAGGTAAATTGAGAAAGAAGTTTTAATTTGCCATTTTTTAAGACCTTGAATTGCTGGTTTAGAATGGAATGAGATTATGATATATTATGATTCATGCCTATCATAAGTAGACAGTTCATATTCTTGGATTAATGATAACAATTTGTTGAAATGAATAAAAATAATGTTATAACTAAATATTTTCAAAATGATTAAAAGAAAAGAAAAGACGAGTAATAAAATGAAAAAATGTAATATTTTTAAGTCAAACAAATTTTCATTCTTTTAAATCAAATGTGGAGGGTTGTGCGAACTTCGATACAAAATCGATAAACCAATCAAATTAAAGAACTTCAGTTAACAATTCTTTAAGCCATATAATTTGATTCTTTAAGCCATATAATTTGATTTGAATAATAATTAGGATTTTAGATATAGTATTGTGATGAAGACAGTGAGACTTGCGTAGGATGTTTTGGATAATTGTGTCTTAATGTGATATGCATTGTTGGTGTGGATTTTATATTATTTTCTTTACTTTATAATTTATTCATTTTTCAATCATTACAAATTTGTGTGAATCATTGCAGGTTACAATCATTAAATTCTACTAAATTAAGTTTGGAGTTTAATGATTTTATAACTGAATGAATGGTATTAGCATAGTTAAAGGTACTTCAACACACTTTAACCTCTGTAATAATCTGTTCAAAAATAGGAAAATTTCATAAAAAGGACTAAAAGTGTTCAAAAAATAATAGTCTAAGATGTTAAATGACAAAAACAATAGTCGCCAGACACCTTCCAAGTAAAGGTTTTGTCTACCTTCACATCATAAAACAAAGACTCTTCCACTGCATGCTGATAACTTGGGAGAAATAAAATCTCAACTCCAAAAACAACTTTGTCATCAATTAGAAACTCAATTACAAGATCATCAAACACACGACATTTTTCCAATTACACATTATGCCTTAATTATATGAAACCTGCTGACATTATTTCCTAAATTACATTATAAAAAAAATCTCAAATTATTAGCAATATGATACATGTAACAGCTCCAAATCAAATTCAAGAATTAGAAAGACAAAAAAAAAAAAAAACCTTGGTAGATGGAGAACTATTCTGTATTTGATCAAATATAAAGAATTTTACATCTGCATGCATCATCCAACCTACAGACAGTGCAGCTTGGTTTTCAATCCGCAACAATATAGAGATGTATCCCCTACTATAATTAGCATCCCCATTGGGATATATCAATAATGACCCGTTTGAATAATATTACTCATATTAAAAATTTTAATGCTAGTATGATTGAAAACTATAGTACCGAGTCGCAAAACAAAGGAATAACCTAAACTCAACCAACCATTTATAGTCGTTGACCTCAAAAATTGATGACTGGTAGAACTGGTTGCCACAACCAGAAATCATTTTAGTAATACTGGAAAAAGATTTCATCCTCACTAGGTAATGAGATGAGCTCATATCTCTAACCCAAGTACCTACATGATAAGTAACTTTAACATAATATATGCACACAACAGCAATCATCAATAAACAGAACAGAGTGAAAGAAGAAAAAATCATAAGATGCATATTCAACATGATATATATCCACACAGAAGAAATCATCAATAAACATGGTATATTGATGATATCAGAGCATGGTATAAGAGAACATGGTATAATAATGATATCAGAGCATGGTATCAGAGCTTGTTCGGTCCACTTTGGGTTCACCCGGTTATGGAAATTGGTGGCATCCAAGCTTTCGTAAGCTCGCTTGTCCCGTCTACTTTGGTGATGTTCAAAGCTTTCGTTTCAAGGGAAGGGTTCCGTCCAAAATGCAACTACTTACTTTAAAATGGAAAGGATAGGGCGATAAATAGAAAGAGAGAACTCTCATTCACTTGCGAAGATAGCTGGAGTGTTGAGGGGGACATGGGTAAGTTGGTAGACTGAGAGAAAAAAAAATGAATATAATGTAAATGTTACCTACATATTTTACAATGCAAGGATAGAACAATAAAACAAAAGAAAAACCTTGTCTTTCGGTCGCAACATGACAGTGAGTGTTTGGTGAAACTGAGAATGTGAGAGTTCGATTTATCTGTCTGTTGTGCAAGAGAGAGTGAGTCGGCCACGTGTAGGGATTTTAAAAGGTAGGGATGTTAAATAAATAAGATTAAGAATATTCAGAGGGACATGTAACAGTTCTGAACATGCAAATGATTAGTCTTTAATAGGCCAACCCAAGAATAATGAGCAAAAAAGAAGGTTTAATGTGAAATCTGTGTGTTTATCTTGTTCAAGGTAACGCACATAGATGGGCCCGTCTATTAGGATACACAAGTCATATTTTATGATTTGAAATTAAACAATACTTATAGCTACCTCAAAACTTGTACTTCAAATACTGAACTTGAGTCAAGGCAGGCGATCACGACAAAATGTCATAAATAAAAGGGACATCTGAGGGAATTAACTCTTTTAAAAATATGTAAGTAGAAACACGTAATGTTTTTAAAATATTTTGTACAGGAGTAGGACATTCACATTCACATTGTTGAGCATATAATATATAAACATAAATGTGCAATCAAACTATCAGTTTAGACTTTTAGTTGAGATGAAACACATGCTTCAATTTGGTATCAGAGCCTATCAGAGTCAACCCTACTTCAATTTGGTATCAGAGCCTATCAGAGTCAACCCCTTGCAGAGATGTTAGAGAATTACTGATGTGAAAACATGTGATTAAATTGCTGATTTGATGGCTGAAATATTCAATGATGATGGAATTGTCATCAAGGAAGCCCTAAGACAAATCTTGAACATCAGCCAACAAGAAACATTTAGAATAGTCCCATATTGAATTTTAAAGGGCAATGTGTGCACAAATTACAAATTAAAACATGATAGAACAAATTAAAAAAAAATAACAAATAATTATAAATGTAGAATGAAACAATGTGTAAATTTTACATTTTCGAGATCTCTTTATGTTGTCCAAACCTTAACTTTTTGATTTTTCAACTGCAATAGGAAACGAACAAACAATTCATCACAATGGATGGATAGATTGACAAGTTCCAAAGATGAGAAACATATGCACCGAAGGACTGACTATCTCCACGAGGATAAAGTATCAACCTCCTAAAAAAATAGTTGAAAGAGTTAATAAATAACAAAGAAGAAATAGCAATATTAGTAAATTTAAACACACAAAGAGTTACTAA